CTCTGCCTGGGACATGTATTGGTCAAACGTATAATACTGTCCTGCTCTGTTACTGATGTGAATGTTTCCGTCCATATTTGTACTCAGTATCTACTTCACATATGGTTGGTGTAACTATGCAATGGCATGAACTATTTATTCACCTTAACAAGGTGCACTAAGCATTCCTTCAGTGATATAGGAAAGCCTCCGGAGACTAACTAACTTCTCTATTTGAATCTTTTCCTTAATGCTTTTAGTGATCTTTGTATTTTATTATGTACGTATATTTATAGATTTCAACGTAATTATCTGAAGAATCTTTAACTAGAACCTATTACTTAATACTGTGAATAATTTCAAAGAAACAACTAATCGCTGCAAAATGGTGTTATCTGCTGTTTTCATGACTGTCTAGGCTGACTGTCTTCTGGGATGATTCACACCCCTTGCCCTAACTAACTCTGTTCACCTAAAAGGGACAACATCCTTTCATTAATGAGATTGGAATCAATTACGACTGTAATTTAATGAACGTGTTTGATCCTGTCATACTTACGTGAACCATAATCCCATTAGTTCATCTGTTTGTTATTGCAGGAGTTTACTATCCCGTTCAATGTTTGTTCCAAATCTTCAAACTGTCTCGAACAAATCTTCTTGCAGTTGTTGTTTGTGCAATGCTCCCTTTTTCCTCAGAATAACCTCTTCTCAAAAGTTTTATTCTTTATTCATTCACAGTATGAGGGTGTTGCTGACTAGGCTCGCATTTATTGCAAGTCCCTAATTGCCCAGAGGGCAGTTCAGAGTCAACCACATTGCTGTGGGTCTGGAGTCACATGTAGGCCAGACAATGTAAGGATGGCAGTTTCCTTCCCTCAAGGACATAAGTGAACCAGATTTTTTTTTTCCTGACAACAGACAATGGATTTATTGTCATCATTAGAGTCTTAATTCCAGATGTTTATTGAATTCAAATTCCACCATCTGCTGTGGCGGTATTCGAACCAGGTCCCCAGAGTGTTGTCTGGTCTCTGGATTAACAGTCCACTGATAATACCACTAAGTCAATGCCTCCCAGATCCGGTGGCCTTTGTTCAGAACTGAGGAAGTGTACCAGGCCTGAAACGTTAACTCTGATTTCTCGTCACAGATGCTGCCAGACCTGCTGAGCTTTGCCAGAATCTTCTGTCTGTTATTTTTGCCTTCCTCAGTCACTGATAACTTCAAAAGTTTCCTTCCATGTCTGTACTCAATATCCAGTCCATATATGGTCATTGTAACAATGTAACAACTTGATCTATTTATATACCTTAATTGTAACTTTAAAAATGCCCTTACTTAACACGCATTCAATGCAATTAGAGTGTATATTTGTGAGGAAGATTCAATCTATCCCTCTTCAAATGCTGTGAATGACAACGGGCTTTCAAAGATGAACTTTACTGGAACTGCATTGGTTTATAGAGAAAAAAAAAAATTGTATTTTGTTGGTGGTGTTTGACCCTTGGATTGAATGTATATATCTGGAAATTGAGCTCAATGCAAATCTTAGCTCTGTGCCTGTGGAAAGTAAATTCTCCACTCTGACATTACTAACATACCTGCTGTTTGGTAGGAGCAGCTGGTCACACTTGGTCCTGGAAATATGACATTGTCTTGGCCCATCAAATATTTGCCTGGAGGAAGACAGAACAGAATTCTCCTGTGAATCAACATCCAACGAGTTTGAAAATATTAAAACTGATCAATGCAAAATTTAATTAATACTCATAATACTTCCTTGTTTTAAAGCCAACAATTGAAACAGGGAAGGGTCTGGCTCCATCATGAACCTGAGCTCCTCCTCGTCTCTTTCTTTTTGCGAAATTCTAAAACAATTTACTAAGATACAAAAACTAACCAACACCTGCACGGTCCATGAATTGAATGCTTACACATTTCAATACCCAGCTCCCAATACACTACCTATTTAAGGGAAGAACAACAGGCACTATTTCAAAAAAAAACGAGAGTTTTAAACCAGTGAGTGCTGTATTTATACTTTACATGATTAACACATTTGTACGTACTGTGACTTCTTTACGATTCAATGCCAATTGACAACAAACAACGTGAAACAGAAGCTAAACGATGAATTACCATCAGCGTTTGGAGGATTAAATATCACAAGAATGACCACCCAAGCAGCTTCTTGCCGCTGTGTCTCCCTCAGCAGGCCCACACACAGCCCGAGAAAGGCCTCTCTCTTCCCCGCCAGGCCGCTCACTCCAAGTTCCGGGACCAGTTCCAGCTCCGCTCGGCCTCTGACAAACAGCCCCCGGCTCTCCCTGAACTGAGCCCGAATCAATGCCGCTGTCGGAACCCAGCTTTGTGTCCCAGACTCACATTGCGATGCGCTGCTGGAAGGAGCCTGCTGTTCCCTCGCTTCCCTGGGCGCTGGTCTCTCCATTGCGGTCTGTTTCAAACAAACCTCTTCCACTCAGTGAGCAAATGCTCCTCAATGGCAGCGCTGGGGGATGGCCTCACGCATGCGCTCCTCCAGTCAGCAACAAGCAGCTTTGGGGGCCGGGCCAGCATCGCGCATGCGTTGCTTTTCCCAATGAGTCCCAGAAGCAAACATCAATTGGTCATTTTCCCAATTCCCTTTACTCCCAGTTTGAGCAAAGCAAATGGGGCTGTGGGGGAAAGGGCAGAGAACGTTTCAGGCTGGGGCATTGGCCTTTTCTGAAGCTCCAATGGAGATCATTCCCGGGTCATGTTAATAACTTACATTCTGATGGGGAAGCTGTGAAGTTGACACCATTCGACCCTTTAATGTGCTTCACCATTCAATAACATCACGTCGGATCTCAGCTTAATTGCAGTATTCAATCCTGCTGACCTCCGTCTCATTTTAACTCTGTCAAAATAACATACAGACCGATGGAACAAATGGGACATTCTTACGAAGGCAGAATGTAACTGTTGGAGGGAGTCTTGCGGCGCGGTGGTAGTGTCCCTATTTCTGGGTCAGGAGGACCGTGCTAAAGTTACACCCGGACCAGAGGCGTGTAATAACATTTCCGGAACGCGATGCAAATACCAGTTTCGAGAAGATGACTGATTTTATTCTCAGGAATGCTGCAGACAGAAACCTTGTGATGAACGGGATACTTCAACAATAGACCCTAAATGTTCTTGTTTACTCACTCCTGGGACGTG